GGCAATAGTGGGACGGCGAATCACGGTACCTATAGCAAAAAATAGGACAAGGGCCGAGGCTGGAATCAACTCCAAGAACCCTTAACCCCTTCAGGGATCAGCATAACTCCAATGCTTAACCAAACACAAGCCTCCACTGTCGGCAACATTATTCATCCCCACTTTTTCAGACCACTCGGTAGAACTTTTGAAAACCCTGCAAAGTCATGAAAAAGTTTGGATGGATCAAGAAATTTTGTGTTCAATTTAAGAAGAAACCAATTCAGAAGAAGAAAAGTCCTATACAGATTCTGGTAACAAAAACCCAAGACGAGGACTTACGAATTAATAGCTTGCTGGTGGATGGATTGGGCAGCACAGTGCAAAAGGATATGTGTAAAAACTGGAAGGAGGACAACTTGTGGTGTATGACCAAATACAAACCAGTTGCAAAGAAAGTCCGACCAGTAAACCAAGCCATGCCCCAATCAATCAACCCACCTTTGCAGAGACCTCAGTTATCAAGAGACCCCTACAAAACACCGTTATCACCAAACCCACCTAGTTTTCAACCAACACAGAAAATTACGGAGGAGCGGCTGGGCGTAATAAACTTTGGACCTGAAGGATGGCTATGGCCAGAAGAAATTAAACTTTTTAGACATCTTATTGTGCTACGAGAAAAAGCCTTAGCGTTTTGCCCTGCGGAAAGAGGACTTCTGAAACACTCGTATGGCTTACCTTACGTCATCCCGGTGGTTGACCACATACCATGGCAGAAGAAACCAATCCCAATCCCAGCAGCAATCAAGGACGAATACGCCGAATTGGTACGGGAACGAGTTCGGACTGGTTTATACGAACAATCAACTTCAAGCTACTCGAGTCCAGTATTTTGTGTGGCCAAACATGATGGAAAGCTGAGAATTGTACATGACTTACAAGAAATGAACAAAGTAACAATCAAAGATGCAGGGCTGCCTCCTGCAACTGAGGAATTTATTGAATCCTTTGCAGGGAGGGCTTGCTATGGTCTTGGTGACATCATGGGAGGTTATGATCAACGGGAATTAGCTGAAGAATCACGACCACTCACAACCTTCGACACCCCACTAGGACGATTTCAACTCACCCGGCTTCCTCAAGGCGCAACAAACTCGGTAGCAGTTTACCAGGCTCAAATGATGTGGATTCTGCAAGATGAGATCCCAGAATTTGCGGGGGTATTTATCGACGATGGAGGAATTAAAGGACCACGATCAACCTACGGAGGACAAGTATTAACAGAAAATCCAGGAATTCGACGTTTTATATGGGAATATGCAATAACCTTGGAACGCATACTGTTTAGGGTTGAAGAAGCAGGTCTCACAGTATCGGGCAAGAAATTTTCCTGCTGTGTTCCGGCTTTGGACATCGTGGGACACGTGGTTTCCCACACTGGAAGACGAGTCTCTAGTCAAAAGAGAAATAAAATTTTAACTTGGCCAACACCATCTAACCTTACGGAACTGCGAGGATTCTTAGGCTTAATCACTTACGTACGAATATTTATACAAAACCTGTCTGAACTTGCATCCCCATTGAGGCAACTTACCAGAAAAGAGAAAGAATGGATATGGAGTACAAGTTGTGATCAAGCATTTGAGCGGTTAAAGGAAATTGTTGGAAAAGATATTGTGCTCAAGAGCATCGACTACTCAAAGGACGCAGGACTGATCAAGCTAGCAGTGGACTCAAGTTTTATTGCAGCCGGGGCAGTATTAATGCAAAACGAACTCGACACCGGATTGGATCGACCAGTACTTTATGAATCAATAGTATTTTCACCTGTGGAATCAAGATATTCTCAGCCCAAATTGGAATTATGTGGGGTATCAAGAGTTTTGAAGAAATTGCAGACTTACCTCTGGGGTCAACATTTTGAACTACAAGTGGATGCAAAATCTTTGATACAAATGATCAACTCCCCATCTCTTCCCAATGCACCTATGACGCGTTGGGTGGCTTTTATTCAATTATTTTCTTTTGACATAGTACATAAACCAGGAAAAACATTCACCTTACCCGACGGACTCTCACGAAGGCCTATATCTAGTGACGAAGAAGAATTTTACCAGGACCAAGAAGATTTTGACGAAGAAGAACCAGTATTCAAGCCCTGCTACACCTTTAAGACCTGTTCTCATGCAGTAATATTACAGATGAAAGACTGGGAGGCACCAGGATACTGGAGGGAACTTCGGCATTATTTGGAAACACTGGAACAACCTGTCACGATGGACAGAGTAGAATTTGCGAAACTTCAACGAAAATCAGAAAGCTTTTTCAGCAGCGACGGACGACTTATGAGAAAACACTCACCAGCACCCCAGATTGTGATATCCAAAGACACCTATCAAGATAAACTGCTCAGGAAGGTACATGAAGAATTAGGGCACAGAGGACTTGAAGAGACATATCAGCGATTAGTAACCAGATTTTGGTGGCCAAGTCTGAAAAAGAAGGTCAAGAAATGGGTACAAAGCTGTGAAGCCTGTCAGAAATGAGACCCCCTGGTACCAAGAGAAATCCGGAATGCTACTGGTGACAGTTATCTTTTTGGACGTGTAGCTTTAGACGCCTGTCACATCAAGGCAGGACAATTTAAATATCTGATCGTGGCTTGGGATGATTTGTCTGGATGGGTTGAAGCAGCACCCTTAGTTAAACTTACAGCAAGCAATGTGGCCAAATTCCTTTTGGAATCCTGGGTATACAGATATGGTTCCATCAAATCAGTTACTGTGGATAATGGCGCAGAATTCAAAGAAGATTTTATTGAAGCTGTTGAGAAAACTGGGGCTAACCTAAAATTCACGACACCCTACTATCCCGAGGCTAATGGAATGATTGAACGTGGACACCGACCAATTAAAGACGCACTGGTTAAACTGTGTGGAGAATCTGGCGGAAAGTGGCGGGAATATCTTCCATTAGTATTATTTTCAGACAGAATTTCAACTAAACGAACAACAGGGTTTACCCCATACGAGCTAGTATTTGGACATTTACCTGTATTACCAGTGGACCTTGAGATGGATACCTATCTAGGCATTGATTGGTCAGAAATAAAATCAACAGCAGAACTCTTAGAAGCCAGGACCTTGCAATTAGAAAGAAGGGACGTACTTTTGAAAGATGCTCACAAAAAATTGATCAAATCAAGAGAAGATTCTGTAAGATACTGGGATAGGAAAATGGCCGCAAGACTACGAAAGCCTTTGAGCGTGGGAGAATTTGTCCTAGTTTACAACAAAAGTTTAGAGGACCAATGGGGAAAGTTATTTGCCAATTGATGGAATGGCCCATTTAAAATCAAGAAACAATTACCCAAAGGATCTTACTTACTTGAGGAATTAGATGGGACAGAGTTAAACCGCTCATACGCAGCATCTCATATCAAAAGATTCTATCCTAGAGGACGCAGCTTAAATGAGATTACGGAAGACGAGGAGGACCCTGAAAGTGGGTGTCAGCTTGTCACTAATAAAGTAGGACAATCTGACCTGTTTTAATGACTTTATTAGCCTTGTTTGATATATATATATAAATAAATATTAATTGCATTTAATAAGTTATAATTAAATAAAATAAAAAACCAGAATTGATTGTTGAAATGACCTCAGGAGCACGCGCAGGAGACTCCGCAGCAGTCACAGTACTGTGCTACACCGTAAGCGTCATCTCCAGCGCGAGTCCTTGAAATGTGACATCCAGTTTCTCAAGATGTCACACTTCAAGAAAACACCTAGGTCGGCATCGCCAGTCATGACCTCATGACTGAGCCAACACAACCTCCTCGAGCCTAGAATTAAGAATGCGACTCCCATACGCCATCAACGACAGACCCGATGGATATAAAAGCCAGGTCAGGTTAGAGCTGAAGGAGGAAGAATCACGCATTTTTTACCTGTTTCATTATCTTTCATCCGAGAACTCCATTTCATCCTCAAGACTAACACCCACCCGATTTACACTCCTAAACAGATTCCCCAAGCCTAATACTTTCCGCCGTCGCCGTATCGTGGAAACTGGCCAAGGATATCGTCTAGAATACCACCCGAGCACCGAGGAATAGAGACCGCTAATCTGTACAGAGGAAGGGATACCCACCACTCAGTAAGTACCCTCCTCCGAGTCTTCCTCCCCCGTCTCCTACCTACGCAGACCACCACCCCTAGACCTCGCTAGGACCTGCCGTCGAGCTACCTGAAGTTCTGCTACCTATCAGCATCGAACTCTAGCTTCACACCTGAGGGCATCGTAAAAACCCCCAAGATCTGGGCCCCTCTTCCTTTTATCCAAAACCAACCAAACCATCCCCATCGACGGGTGTAGCTAGAAGACCATAAGTCTTGGCATCACCCAGTCTGACAGTGGGAGCAATTCGGAAGGAAGCCAAACTAGCTCCATGGATGAAGGCTCTCAAGAAGGATCTGATGATCAGAATTCCCAATCATGCTGATTACCTCCTGGGCATGAGACTAAACTGTTCACAAACAAGCAACATCCCATAAAAATAAATTGGTATAAGTATTAAATTTTCTTTAGCACTAACTAAATTTTCCGTCTCTCAGAAATTTTTTTAGCAACACTTACATTTTTTTTCCAGAATACAACTCAAGGTAATTGCTGTTATATAAAATAACAAGAAGATATTCAACAAAGAATATCTTATTCTTTTGTTGCAGGCACTTTTTTTTTTAACCAAGACAACTCCTTCAAGATGGCCAACTAAACTTTTAAATGGCTCTTAGACTCAGTGTCATTTTTTGTGTCTCACTCTCCAGATTTGCTCTCACTTCTTAGGTTGGGGACAACCACTTTTAAGTTGGGGGAGGGGTATGGGAGGTAGATTGCAAAAAAACTAGACAATTTGAGGTAGTGATAAAAACTTAAAAAGATACAAAATTTTTTTGGTTTTTTTGAGTTATACAAATTTTTTTAGGTTTAAGTATTTTCTACTGATGTTTTTGGTTTTAGGAAGATTTTACCCCTGGAAACTGAACTGTCCATTCATAGGCAGTAACTAGCAAAAAGAAAATCAAGAATCAGTAACAATATCAACAAAAGGCAGATACCAAGCCTGAAGTGTAACTTACTAAAACTAAGTAGGCACACGACGTAGGGCGGATCTGTAGCGGCGGCCGACGAACCTGAAAAGCGCAACTCGACCTTCGCGCTCGAAAGTATTGGTGGCGGGGTGGCGAGTGAAATGACCAACGAGAGCGGAGGCCACATCTTGATAGAAGGCCGTGTAAAGCTGAGTGCGAACTGATGTTGATCGTACCGGCCGAAGTCAGGACGGCGATCGAGGAGAGCGTCCACTTGATGGGGCGCCAATCGATGGTAGTCATCAACGTCGTAGAAGCCGAACGGAGCTGGGGAAGGCACTCGGGTGCGTGTGCGCACGTGAGGCTCCACCCAGCTGTTGTCAGCTGAAGTCAAGGAACCGTGACGATCGAATGGACCACCGGGACTGAGTTGCGGGGTAGGAAGCCTACTTCCCCGGGGAGCTGGAGGAGGTGTAGCACCTCTCCCAACAACTGCTCGGTTCGAGATAACCTAAAGATAGAACAAATAACAAGAGTCGATTAATAGACCAATTCATGAATAAGGATACAAAAAGACAAGGGCTTACCGGTCCAGTAGGAAGATTATTGCTACCTGAAGGATGACCTCGACCACGAAAGGGAGCCGGAACAAAGCCACAACCACGACCACGAACCCGAACCGGATCCAAACCTCGGTCGCGCGCCTGACCACGGTTTCTGGCGCGGCCTCGAGCGCGAGCACCTACTCCGTTTTGGTTCGCAGGAACCAACGGAGTAGGGGAGGAGTGAGGTGCCGCGTTGGCAGCACCTCGGATGCGAAAAGACGGAACCACACGGGGAGAAGAAATGGGAGCAGGGGCCGGAATTGATTGAGAAGGCGGAGCCTCGACAACCACGTCGAGATCCATGCTCACCGCTTCAGGAGAAGACGGCGCAGCCGGGGACGCGTTTGGGACCGGAAAGTCTGAAGAATAGTCTTCGGTCATGGTAGACCTCTCGCCTATAGTCTAGAGAAGTAATAACAAAACAAATAACCAGCTAGTGGTCAGCTAACGCATCTTAAGTCTACATAACTAACATAACAAAATGTACCCACCGGAAATGGGTGGGAAGGCACAACAATAGGCGCAGAGGAAGATCGAGCGCGGGTAACAAAAGGGTAAGGAGTAGAGGGACGAGGCATCCACGACATAGGATACTGGTTGAGGGAAAAGAAGGCAGAAATCCAGGCGAGGGGGTACTTTTTTATACCTTCATCCTTGCTAGCCTTGCTGGTATAGACCACGAGAACGCCAAAAACCAGTAACAGCCAGGAAGAGCTGTCGAATGTTCGGCCCGAATCCTCGAAGAATGACCCACGGCAAACCCATTTGCCTGGAGTGGTAGGCTCCAGTTCCAAACAATGAGAAGCAGCGGTTGGGAGCCTGAAGCCTGGGTGAGGCCCAAGTGGTTCCTCTCGCATCGGTCGAATAACCTGACAAGAAGATCTGTCAAAAGACAGAAATAAATAAAAAACTAGTCTTAGTATATAAAACAAAAAGGAAAGAAAACGATTAAACAAAAGAAAGGAAAAGAGAAATCAGACGACTTACTCGTACGATGGTTGATCCGATCGAAGAAACGAGAAGACGGGAAGCCGAGGAGGCGGTGACGATGTAGGACTTGGAGGTATGTGTAAACTTCTGAGTCCAGGCTCAGAGGGTATCCCTCCAAAACCGAGTCGGAAGAGCGCACGCGATCAAGCGCGCAGGCGCGCGACTGCGGCTCCAGACAGCCCGCGACCTGTGACCGGTCACTTTTTTGGGCTGTTTCCTTGACAAAACCCAGTAAAAATCCAGTACCCCTGGCAAAACCAGGCAAAACCAGACAAAAACTGGTTCAACAAAAACTAAACTAAATAAAAACTGAAAAACCAGGTAAAACCAGGTAAAGCCAGGCAAAACCAACAACCCATGACAAAACCTCATAAAAACTGATAAAAACAGGTAAAATCAGGTAAAAACAAACAAAAACTGGTGAACCCAACAAGCTAGAGGGTTAAACCCCCTTCATAAGCCAAACAAAACCTGTTTGAGGACAAACCAACAACAAAATAACATAAAAACACTTAGCAACAAATAAAAATAAAAATAAAATACAAGAATAGATACAGATATTAAAAATAGGCTGTTTTTCCTTCATAGTTGGGGGAGGAAGCCAATCCGGGTTAA